AGGAAGAAGAAAAAAAGTTGTTCCCAACTTCTTTATCAAACCATTTCCTCCTGTGCACCTCCCTCCTCCAGACAAGGGGTGGGAACCCAGAGGCACCTCCTGGCCAAGGCAAAGCTGACAAGGGTGGGCTGGGGCAGGGGCAACATCACAGCTTCAAACCCCATCTCTAAATATGTCCAAAAGCCACTAAAAATGTCTCCTTCAGCCAAACTTGTCTTTAAGGGGGAAGGAAAATTTCACAAATGCTTCCCCGCACTAAGGGAAAAACCTTCCCTTTGTTGCTAGGGGACTTACTTGCTTTGTATCTGCTGAAAACATTTAAAATGCCACCATTGTATTTAGGAAAAAAAAACCCAAAAACCCGAGACTGAAGCACCTCGTGCTAAAAATCAAGAGACATCAGTTCCATCCTTCGTTTGCAAGTACTTCGCTCAGGCCTGACTTCGTTTTGTGTCTTGGTCCTCGATGCTTTTTGGCAGCTTGCTCCAGACTTACTGGCAAGAGCTAAAAGGTTTCTATTTAGCTGGTGTCAGCTGAGCATCTGTGCCGGCAAGAACTGGAGTGGGGGGTGATCCCGGCTGCCTTTCAAAAGCACATTTCTCTCTGGGAGCTGCCACGATAATTTAAATCTGAGCGTGTTCGGGGAGCGGGGTGACTCCCTCCGGAGGGGCGCAGCACTCCGCGCGGGGAGCGATCCCCGATCAGCGGAGGGAAACGGAGCTGGGAACGCTCCCTAACCTGTGACCCCGACAACAAAAGGCAGGGACAGCGTCTAGACCTGCAGTCTGCCGTGGAGTGAAGGCAGCATTGTGCTGCGGCTCGGCGGCGGGGCGGGCTCCGCGGCTGCGGGCGGAGCGGCCGCGGGCAGGGCGCGCAGCCCCGGCACCGGCCCCGGCGGCCGCCGCCCCTGCCCGCGCTGCTGCAAGCCCTGCACGCCAAGGAACCCATCGCATTCCCAGCCCCGGGTTTGCCTCTGCCTCCCGTGCACACAGCATCCTCGCGCTCCTCATCCTGCGAGTCCAGCCCTGCGCGGATTGCCAACAAGAAGGAGCAAAAATGAAATATATGCTTCTTTATTTTCTGCTTTCGCTGCGTGGCTCAGTTAAAAGGGGACAAACCAAGATGTTCCCTCTCTGCCAAGCCTAGAGGTCAGGTCAACATTCAAAAAAAGCCCGAAGACCCAGCTTTAAAATACATTTCTTGTGCGACCCTGATCAAACCCCTTGGCTTCCCCACATATGAAAATATAAATACCCTAAATAAATGCTGGAGCTAACGGCAGGTTACTGCCAGGGAACTGCATGAAGAGAAAATAAAAGTCCTATTAAAATCCCTTGTTCATCTCTGCCAGAAAGAAAACACTTACCCACTACTTAAAAAGATGCATTAAAGGAGAAAGAGCATCCGGGGGGGTTAAGGACACCCCTGGCAGAGCAGTGAGGAGAAGCACTCCCGGCCATCCACTCCCATGTGCCCTCGGGATAAGGTTTTGGGGTGATCCCACACCCTGGCCATGCCCTGACCATGCCAGCACAGGCAGCAGGGACAGCAGCTGCCCCGAGCACACCCAGCACAGAGTGGGGCTGCAGGCAAACCTGGGAACCACAGATCAGAACTCTGGGCAAAACAAAACCTTTCACTATTCCTGCAGGAAAAGTAAATACCTGGAAGATGTGCTCCAGCCCAGCTGTACAGGTGTAAAACCACGGTGGCAGTGGTGTGGTGCCACCCTGGGCATCAGTGACACTCACTGGCCCAGTGGCACCGCTCCACAAGGAATGGGCAACTTTGGGCACAGCCAGCAGCCACCTCAGGCAGCTGCAGGGAACCACCCCCCCCTCCTTCTGCCAGCTCTGGAGTTACAGCCTGAGACCAAGCAAAACCAGACCCAGCAACTGAGATCCTTTAAACAGCTATTAAATCCCCACCTCCTTCTGATGAGAGGTGATTTACAAACAGATGATGGTGAATACAGTGAATTCAGAGCACGAGAGGAGTTTCAGTACCCTGGTAGCCACCAGATGCCGATCCTTCATCAGCACACTTCATCCACACCTTACACAACAAAAAGGGACAAGGACTTTCTTCTCCCCTTCCCTCTGTTTCTTCCTACCCCATCTCCAAGACATCACTAGTCCAGTGTCAACTCCTTCCCCAGGTGCTCCAGGTCCCTGGGACTACTGAGGCACCAACAGAGCCAGGAGCTGTGGCAGGACAGTGGATGGTGGCACCATGGCAAGATGCCACACACCCGCAGCCTCAGCAGGGTCCAGCCAGACCTTCCTCACAGCCTGGCACCTGCTATGGCAGCAGCTCATCTCCTGACAACTGCCTGGCATTTATTTTTGGTGCACATGCACAGGGAGAATGAGAGATCCCACACTGGGATTTTTATCAGCAGTGCGCAGCTATGGAAACAAACGCATTTAAGACTAATATAACAAAATGCCCAAACCCACAACAATAAAATAAAGAATGGTGCACATTGGCATTTTCACAGGGGAGCACTGCAGTGAATGCAGAGCATGACCCAGCTTCTCCCAGAATTCACCCAAACTTTTAAGAAATCACACATTTTCATGTACTTACATGTTTAGCTACGTGAATTTTGCTTGGTGGAAACCCTCCACCTGCCCTTTGATTTTACAGAGTTCAAGGAATGCACCTCCTCCTAAATAAGATGAATAGCCATTTGTTGAGGGCATTCTCTCCTTCCCCTCTGTACCCATTTCCAAGCCACCCTCTGTCAGAAGCAGGACAGCTAACTCAAAATCCACCAGAAACTGCAGCACCTCTTCTTTTACTCCCCATGGAGGGGACACAGTGGTGCCTGACCATGCCCCAGCGTACAGATCAGGGCAGCGGCTGCAGCTCAACCAAACTGCTCCACAAGTCATTTAGAGGAATCCAAGAGCCTGACTTCCACACCACAGACATCCAGGAATTATCAAAGAGATGGTGGAATACCTTAAAAACCCAGGAAAAAAAGCCCAGTGAAAACCAAAGGTAGTGCTGCTCCCTGCCCAGGTTTGGTGTTCTGACCCACCACGTGCAGGGCTTTATCCCAGGTGGCACAGGGATGGGCAGGGGCATCTCTCTGGGATGGGCAGGGGCATCTCTCCGGGATGGGCAGGGGCATCTCTCCGGGATGGGCAGGGGCATCTCCCCCTGGGGTTCTGGCTCTGCAGGCAGCACCAGGATGCTGGGGAGGACGGGCGGTGGAGGTGGCGATGTCTGGGAATGCCGGCCCAGGCTGGAGCTGCAGACAAGGACCCAGACAACAAAGGCGAGGCAAAAAGCGTCTGATAGAGGCAGCCCCGTCTGGCAGGCCAGGCTTTCAGAAGCCCGGGCATGCACTGATGTCTGCAAGCACAGCTCTTCGCCGGGCGCACAATTAACCCCGCAGCAAGATCGCTGAAGTGTCCTGCAGCACACTCCAAATAGTATCCATCTGGTAAGATGAAAAAAAACCCCAAGACTACAGGGGTGCAGCAAAGGAGCAAACAACTGGAGACTGCAGGGAATGACTCTACAACAAACAAAAATTATACTTAATTTTCTGTTATTTATATTCTAAGAAAACCGCATGTTTTCACTTGCATCTCTGCCTCCCTCCCCGAGGCACAAACACACACACAAAAAATGGGAAGACCAGGGAAAGCAGGAAGAGCAGCACAGCTCCAACACATCCCCACTCACACGCTTTCCCAAATCACAGCACAAGAAAACGGGTGTGAGTTTTACAACCATGGAGCAACAGCCAAACGCCTTTTGCTGGAGCAAAAATGCCCCGAGCAGCTGCTCAGAGCACTGGGACACCACAGCTACCCCTGCCCGCCTGATCTGCTGGGATCTTAAGGCATTAATATAAAATAAATGTAAATAAACCATTGACTGCTGCAGGACAGTTTCCCTACGGGCTGGTGTGAGTGTCCCAGCCCTGGGGCTGATCCCAGCCTCAGGATCCCGTGGCTCCCCTGCCTGATGTCTGTGCCAGGATAACGCTGCTGGGGGACCCGTGGTGTCTCACAGCTTTTTTGCATAAGCAAGGGCTATCCTGCTGTGCAACCAAATTGTGCCACCAGGCTCAAAATAAAGGAACTGAAATAAATTTTTTTTCTTCTTATTTTAGATTATGACTTTTACTAATTGATGATTGATAAAAGCCTAATGAATGATTTGTAGGCATTATAAGCATGTTAAGGATCCGAGTGTGGTTATAAGCCAAGGTCATAAGTTCTATTGACTTTCCAGGCTCTATAGCAATTGATTTGCCATTTATTAAAATCATTCATTCGCCACTTGTTAACAATTTATTTAGCTGGTTCTTCTTCAGCAGGCTTGGGACACCACATTTGAGCAAAGACACCTCAGTTTTGAGGTGCTGTTATAAACTCAATTCTGAACTGAGAGACAAACCCATCAACATTATAGCAGTGTCTTTTTAAAGGGTTTTTTGCAAACGGGTTCAGCTCAAATCCAGGAGCCTGGTTTAACAGGGCTTCCAACACCCAGTTTTGTCTGTGCTGAACATGTGCATCTCTGGCCACACTCAGCAGAAGTCCCACATCTCATGACTTAAAAGGTGCAGGATGTCAACTACTTTCATAAAACAGAGTGAAAGTCTCTTTCCTCAATGTAGCACTGCTCATCAGTTTGCCAGAGTAGAAACAAATGAAAGAGTACTGGTGCTTAAAATGCCACTCAGCTTTTGAACTTGCTTCTACACTGAACAGCAGAAGAAAAAAAATCCCATCCAGGATTACCAAAGCGCAGCCAGATATGGATAGACAGAGAACAGCAGGTTTGCACAGTCAGCCTCTGCAGACACCACTGCATCCCCCCTGCAGCAGAGGAGCAGGTACCTGCTGCTCTGGGGGCCAGGCAATGTCCCACCCATTCCGTGGAGCAGGAACCAGGGTGTTTACAGCATAGCAGCTGCAATCATGCAATCAGCCTTCGTAATTAGATCTTGGCAACTCTTGAAATACTTCACTTACCCAGTTTACCTGGAAAGGTGCGACCTAAACATTCAGTGCCTGGAGACATTTGAAAGAAAAACAGAAAGGATCCGTCAGTGATGGGAGCCACCTCCGAGCGGCTGCACACACACCCCTGCTCCCCTCCTGGGGCTCATCCTGGCAGAGCTCCCCTGGCCAGCAGAAACCTGCTCCCACCATCTCCACTGGGCCAGCAGCACCAGAGGTGCCACCACTCCTGGCTAAAGACCCCAGGCGCTTTTCCCACACCAGACATTTCCACACCAAGGTCCCGTTCCTCTCTCTCCTGCTTCCCCAGGACGCTCTCCTGATCTCACCTGATGGCAATGCCAGAGTTTCACAGAGGTTTGTAAAGTTTCTGAGATCACCCAGCCCACCCCAGAGACCTCCCTGCCACATCCAACAGCGCCAGACTGCCTGTCCATGGCCCAGGGCAGCACTCTGCACTTCAAGGCACCGGTGGGCTGTTTATCACGTTCTGTATCCTCTGCAAACACACAGAGCTGAGCCCCACATGCCTCTGAGCCTGGTGAAAGCTCAGGGTCTCCTGACACCCATGATCACAGCGGGGGCAGTGCCTCTGGAGCGCTGAAGAGGAAGAGCCACAGCAAAATCTTGCACAACACCCCAGGAGCAATGCCCAGCAGATGCATTTTCAAGTGAGGAGAACAAAGCAGCAAAAAGTTTGCAACAGAAGACAACTCATGACTTCTCTCTCACCCATCAGTGTGCGACCGCCTGCAACACTGAAGGGATTACAGGACATGGATGCTCCCCAGTGCCTGGCAAGCTGACACATTCTGGGCGGGTGGGAGCTCTGCATCCCACAGGAGGTTCACCAGAGAAACACGTGTACACAGGACCCTTTGATGAAGCCTGTAAGAACTGTCTGTCACTGATAATGGTTAATTGGTACTAATTAGTACAGTCTGATTGGAAGGAGTCCTACTGGCCTATAAGAGTGGCCTTTAACCCAAGAGCAAGGGAGGCAGATGCTGCCAGACACAGCGCTGGGGCCACGGACACACAGCCTGCTCCCCACCCTGCGCCTGCCTCTGCAGCAACACAGCAGGGGATACATGAGCACATCACTGCTCTCAAATAAAGCTTTAAAAAGTTACTTTCCATGCACCTGGGAGGACAGAGAAAACCAACTTTTTAATCCCAGGAAAAGATTAAGGATCAGACAGTCGCTGTACATTACTGCAGCAGCTAAATAACGAGGGGTCGCAGGCTGGGCTCACTGATGGGAAGTCAGGCTGATTTAGATGCTTCACATGCAGGTGTTCAAAAGGGCAAACATGAGGTGTCACCTGAATGCACACAGGCAGCCCTGAGCCTCCAGGCCCATGGGCAGCAGCACCACCACCCCGCTGGAACGGGCACCGACACCGAGCGTGACAGGAAAGGAAAGAAAGGAATTCTGCCCAGCCAAACACCAACGTGTGGCAACAAGCTCGGACCTCCTCCTCCTCCTCCTCCTGCTCAGCCAGCTCACTGCACAAAGCCTGGAAAGGGGTGGGAGGCTGGAAAGGAGTGAAAGGCCAGAAGAAGATTGGAGGCCAAAATGGGTGGGAGTCCCAAAACTAAAATGTAGAGTCTGAGAAAAAAGTGGATGCCAAAATGGCTTGGGAGACCCAAAAGGGTGGGAGTCCAAAGGAAATTTAAAAGTTGAGAATGCATGCAGCTGGCTGGATCAGGATCAGCTTTTCTCTGGCTCATTTTCCAAAAGGGTAGAAAGCAATGTCTCTCCCCTCCCTGTTCCACAGACCAGGTGATGCAGCGTGATGCCCTGTGCACATGTGTTCCCCATCATGTCTCATCCAAGATGTTTGGCCATGGTCTAGGACATGTGGGAGAAGCCAACCTGAACCCTCTGAAGTCATGCAAGATTTTAGGATGTTGCTTCTCCCCTCTCTCTTGGCACGCCTGCCTCTCCCATCATCACATCTTCCCTTTAGGTTCAGCCACGCATTTGCCAACTTTTTAAATGCAAATGAGAATTGGCACATAAAGTCGGTGCTTTAAACCTGACCAGAGCCACCCTCAGCTCTCCTCCCTCCCTCCTTATATGCATAAATTTTTTTTATGCAATCAGCAGCAGGGAAGAGATCCAGGGAGTGGCTGAGCCATGCCTGGAGCCCTTGTGCAGCCGCAGCGCTGCCAGACTGCTCCATGGGAAGGGTGGCTCAGGCTCTCTGCCTACCAGCAGCAGCATGGAACCAGTAATTACCCTGGCTGGACCAACACCTGCTCGTGGTTTTGTCTTACACTGTTTGTGCAACCCAACAGGCTGCCAACAAAGCAGGGATGTGCTTTGCCTAAACAGGTGAAAACACGAAACAGGGAACGGAGCTGCCGTGTTGGTCCCACAACGCCTCTGTGCAACACATGCTGGAAAATCACTGCTGCTTCAGCCTGCAAGGCTGCAGAGGAGGGACGAGCATGGCATGCACTGAAAAGGCAAGAAAGGAGGGAAAAGAGCTGCCCATCTGCAGAGCCCAGCTTCTGAATCCAGCCCCACGCTGGTGCAGGGCACACGGATGTTCTTTGCTGGGCTGAAAAAGCTTGGCTTGCCAGGAGAGTCCTGCAAAACCCAGCCCGGGCTGCCTGCAGAGCAGAGCTGCTCCCAAAAATGCCCTGTGCCAGTTTGGAGCAGAAGTGCCCACTCCCATGCCAGGGACCCGACCCTTGTGCCCACAGAGCAGGAGCTCAGCAATGGTGTGGGAAAGGCAGCGTGGAGACCATGAGTGACCAAGGGCAAAGACCCCAGAGGAGCACCTGGGCCAGCCTCAGCCTCTGGCAGAATCAGCTCTAACCCCACCAGGTCACACCCAAAAGACGCTCTCCCCCCACCAGCAGATGGGATTTGTTGTAGATGATTTGTCCTGGAATAAAAACACCAGCCCCACCTCTTGCTGCATATTTACTGAAAGCCACTAGACATTAAACAGAGGCAAAAAGTGTATCCCAGCAACATCTGGAATTTATCCCTTCTCCCTTCTGAAAAAAAAAAAAATCATGCTCTATTCTTTTAGAGAAAGAAAAGTGATTATATAGAATTATAATGCTGGAAGAACATAGAGAAGAGCAGAGATTTTCTTTGAAATGCTGTTTAGACAATTAAAAAGGATAGTTTCAAAGAAGCAGCAAATACTATCTCAGCTTTTTCCACCCTGTCTCGCAGTACCAGGCTTTCCTCCATGCCTTGGCTAAGAGATTCCAAAGAAAGCAACAGATTTTTTTCATCCTTGCAAGATCTTAGTAAGCTTCCTTAGAAAGGAAACCAGCTCTCAGGCCTAAATGATTGAAGATAGACCAAATAAAAAAAAATATTCTTCCAATTTCTGCCAACAGGACTTGAAGGCACCTTGATTTCTACAAAGAAAACCTGTTTTGGGATGAGCTTTCCAAAAGAGGATGTGTCAGTTTTTACCCATGAGAGCCAATACTCTCTCCCCAGACATCAGAACGGAAAGGCTTTAAATATTAAAACAGGAAAAGATTAATATGAGGATGCAAGGCCAAAATGTGACATCCTCCACTTCCCCAGGCTGCTGATCCCAGAATGGCTGGACCACGACCCCACAGCATCACCTGTGCCCGGATGCAGCTGGGGGAGCCTGGGTTCAGAGGGAAACCCTTCCCAGCCTTCCCGAGGGGGGAAGTGAAGCAGTGCTCTCACGCCAAGCCCACAGAGGTGCCTCCAGCTACTAAATTACCCAACGACTTCAACGAACTGCATTGATCTGGCTGGAAAACAAAGCTGCAGCTCTTGGCAGGTGCCCAGTCAGGAGGGTACAGCTGCATTGTTCACCTGCAAGCAGTTACAGCCACGGTCCGAGATGCCCCTTCCCCTGACACGGGCAGTGAGGGGAGAGACCGAAGGGCAAACACAGGTGAGAGGGAAGCACCTCACTCCAGACACCTCTCAGACACAGCAGAGCCTCAGCAAACTACAGGCGTGTCCAGTTTTGCAATCGAGGGCAAGGCTGTTCCTAGAACAAGCCCCATTACTCAGGCTGCTCAACCCCCATCTCCTCGGCCGCACGTGGACTGGATGCAGGATTTCATCAGGACATTAAACTCAGAAGCTGTAAAATCACTGTGCAAAAACCCAATTATACCTATTTTCGTAACAGCCAATTTAAGCTTGTATTTAGGTCCCCTCACATACCCCTACGTTACATAAAGCATTTCTTCCACTTGAAACGTAGCTTTCTAAAGGCCATTTTGCTTAATTTAATGGATGCTTTATGTGGGTCTGCAAATCTCTAGAAACACAACCAAGGGAGACACATGGCAACAAGATACAGTGTGATCCCTTCCCGGGCATGCAGCAAGAACAGGAGAGATGAAAGGCATCTCCAAACCCATGAACCTGCTGTGACTGGAGTGCACTTGTGCTCTGAAGAGCAGCAAAACCCCACGGTCAAGTCAAAAGAGGAATTCCTGAACATCTGCACGCACTGTTAACCCATTCCAGACCGGCCGGCGCTCTGCAGGCTGCGCAGCAGGATGGATCCTTCCCTCATTCCCAGCCACCAGCTGAACTGAGCCCACTCGGGCACGCTTCCCTTGGATTTCAAAGAGCTGCTTTCTGCACTTCAAGAAAATAAATGCACTCATCTCTTTTTCCTTCCTTTTTTTTTTTTTTTTTTAAAGCCGCACTAATAAAAAGCTCATAGCGAAATCTATTAAATTGAGTCTGTCCATTATGTTTATTGTTCCTTACAATTCAGGCCTGGATGCCAACTCAGTGGAGGTTGAAAAGTGTATTTATCAAGAAAACCCATGAGAATGAAGAGGATTAAAAGCTGTCAGCAGGCTAGAACGTGTTTGTAACCCTGCAGTTTGTTCTGCACCTCACACAGGACCCCCATCAGAGACCTCTGCCTCTCTCCTTGTTTTTGAGCCCACCTCTGGCTCATCAGCTGACAGGACAGCCAGCACCTGCATTCCCAGAAAAAGCTGAGGAAAGTGCAGTGTGTATATGAATAAGTCACACTAGAGAAACATAAACGCTGATTGCATTACAC